GTGTACTATCGGGGATGACAACTGACACCCCGAATAACAGAGATGTAGCAGGGTTCATACTATTGAATTCGTATAAAATTCCCTGACTTTTCCAGGTTTTCCAGAACTTTCTTAAGCTTTTTCCATAGACTGTGGAAGGTGTCAAAAATTGATATTGATATTCAGACAAATAGGAAAAAAAATAAAAAATAGAATTTATACTTTGCAGCTTTAATAACAGACCATAAAAACAAAAATAAATACATATAGCATAATTCATATTATATGTGACCTGGACTATAGAAAGGTACCTATGGTCGGAAGAATCAATTTTTGTTTTTTGATCGAAATTTATAAAAACGTATTTTTTAATGGAACATACCGCAGACTCCTAAGTTTATAACTTTTGCTGGAAATCATCCTTAAAGTTCAACATGAATATTAAAAATTGCGAAAAAAGTTATAAATAGATCAAGAATTGCTTTTTTTGATCTTCTATTTTCGTCAATATCCTGAAGAGACATATAACACCTGCACCTCCACCTTGATCTTCGTAATCTTCATCACAATCCGCAAAACATTGTTTCTCCACTGCTTTAAATTCTTTAGCTACATCCATTATGCACTTTCACAAACTAAAACAACTTTTAATTAGCTGTATAACAACAAAAAACCACGATCTCGAAAATAAAATGATAAGAAAAGCAGCACGTATTATTCCAACTTTTTCAACGTTTTAACAAAATTAGCTATTTAGAGGAAATCACTTGAATAAGGTACAAAAATATTTATTGTAAAAGCACCACTGTATAATGGAAGTCTAAAGAGAGGTAAAGAGCCAAGGGTAAGACAAAAAAAGAAAAGGTAGAAGCGCAAATACAAACGCGACGCACGGACAGTACTTGTTATCTTTAACAGCTGTTTTCTCGAAAACTTGATTTCTAACCATAGGTAGCTTTCCGTAGTCCAGGTCACATATGTAATTCAAAAACAAAACTTTTTTAGATCTTTTAAAATTTACTTAACAGTTATAACAAAACATAGAGCATATTTCTCGTAAATAAAAACAAAACAAAATACAAAAATAAGTAAAATAACTATTTTAAACTTTTTCTCTTAATATTTGTAGACGTCTATTGATACTGTCCACTTCATGATTGGTTCCTTCAGTTAATTTTTGTTTTTTGTTTTCCAGAACCTTGATTTCCGTTATTAAACAATTTTTCACAATTACGAGAAAGACTTGTAATGTTACTTTGACTTTTGTCAAAGACAAACTGACAGTTACACGATTAGGTAGTTACATTAAAATTGCCCAAGCATTTCATTTATATTAAATCATAATGTAGATCTTTTATATTATTATTATTATTTTAATTATTAGTATTATTTACAGATAATTCCCTGACTTTTCCCTGACTTCGTTTTTTCCAGGGTTCATACTATTGAATTCGTATAAAATTCCCTGACTTTTCCAGGTTTTCCAGAACTTTCTCAAGCTTTTTTCATAGACTGTGGAAGGTGTCAAAAATTGATATTGATATTCAGGCAAATAGGAACAAAATAAAAAATAGAATTTATACTTTGCAGCTTTAATAAGAGACCATAAAAACAAAAATAAATACATATAGCCTAATTCATATTACTCGTATATGTGACCTGGACTATAGACCTATGGTCGAAAGAATCAATTTTTGTTTTTTGATAAAAAAAATTTAACGTATTTTTTAATGGAACATACCGCAGATTCCTAAGTTTAAAACTTTTGCTGGAAATCATCCTTAAAGTTCAACATGAATTATAAAAATCGCGAGAAAAGTTCTAAATAAACTGCGCACCACTCAATGTGTCGCGACCAAAAAGTTCGTTCTTTTTCAAAACGACATAACTTTTTTGTTTCTTGGACGATTTTATTTTGGTCTATGATGTCTTCTAGCCCCATCTTCTGGCAATTCATGATATAGGTATGAAGCTCAAGGTTCTTCAAGTAAATTTACTACAGGGTGATATGTTAAACGGTGAAAATTTTCAATAACTTCATCCAAGCCCCGTTTGTAAAAAAATAATTTTTTTCTCGTTTTTACTTTGAAATAATGAAGTATTATGTCTTACCTTGAAACGTTTTTCAAATTTTTCGAATTGGAATCGTAGCAACGAAAATTTTTTTTCTAAAAGAGTACATTTAAGGCTCTTTTGTAGGCAACAGCCGGAAATTGTTTTCGAATTTTGATTCTTAGTGATTTTGGTTTTATATGAAACTTAAATTTGACAACTGAATCACAAGCAGGAGGTCAAAATTATAAAGAAAACATGTCAAGAACGTAAATATCGCTTCAGGATTGGTTTTCGCAAATTTTCACCAAAATATCATTTTAAAAAAGTTGTCTTTGCTTAGGCCCCTCTGAAAATAATGGAAGTTTGTTGCTTGTCGCTTGTTCAGAATTATTCAAGGAACAATCTTTCACCATCTTATCTCCTTGTTCTTAAAAAGACTGAGTGTATTGCCTACCGAAAAGCCTTAAATGTACTCTTTAAAAAAACAATCATATTTTCTTTGCTAAGATTCCAATACGAAAAAATTTAAAACCATTTCAAGGTAAGACATAATACTTCATTATTTCAAAGTAAAAACGAGAAAAAAATTATTTTTAACACCGTTCTGCTGCGCAAAGTTTAAAGCAACAATGATTAATTTTTTGTTGCATAGCACCTATAATTCAATCCTGTCAATATAAATCATTCCCATTTTGCAACCTACTAATCACAGATTATAAAGGCTACCGATCGCGCTGGGGTTAATTCGGGAAGGGTGGGAGGTAATTGTTTTCAGACAACAATTACCTAATTCACCATGTAGATGTTTAAAGGATCCCTTATATAAAGCGATCTTAGGTTATAAGAAAGTAAACAATAAAATATTTGATCTAAATTTATATTTATATATTTAATTTATATTTGATGTGACAAAGAAATCGTTCAAACATGATGTAGAGAAATACATATAAAAATGTTTTTATTACATGTTATTGCCACTATTCAAAAAAGCAAACTTAATTCTAGTTTCTAATTCATTTTTAACATTATTTTTAACTGGATTATTATTATTATTAATACTAAATTATTTTTTTACAAACGGGGCTTCGATGAAGGTATTGAAATTTTTGAACGTTTTACATATTACACCCTGTACGAAATTTACTTAAAGAACCATGAGCTTCATTTCTATAGCATGAATAGCCAGAGGATGGGGCTAGCAGAAATCACAGACAAAAATAAAATCGTTCAAGAAACAAAAAAGTTATGTCGTTTTGAAAAAGGACGAACTTTTTGGTCGCGACACATTGTCAATGAGTGGTGCTCAGTTTATATCAAGAATTGCTTTTTTTGATCTTTTATTTTCGTCAATATCCTGAAGAGACATATCGAAAGACGAATCTGGTACAACGTCATCTTCTATGTCACTAACACCTGCACCTCCACCTTGATCTTCGTAATCTTCATCACAATCCGCAAAACATTGTTTCTCCACTGCTTTAAAGTCTTTTTCTAAATCCATTATGCACTTTCACAGACTAAAACAACTTTAAATTAGCTGCATAACAACGAAAAACCACGATCTCGAAAATATAATGATAAGAAACGCAGCACGTATTATTCCAACTTTTTCAAGGTTCACAAAATTAGTTATTTAGGGGAAATCACTTGAATAAGGTACAAAAATATTTATTGTAAAAGCACCACTGTATAATGGAAGTCTAAAGAGAGGTGGAGAGCCAAGGGTAAGATGAAAAAAAAAAAGGTAGACTTTAGCTTTAACAGTTGTTTTCTCGAAAACTTGATTTCTAACCATAGGTAGCTTTCCGTAGTCCAGGTCACATATGTAATTCAAAATAAAACTTTTTTAGATCTTTTAAAATTTACTTAACAGTTATAACAAAACATAGAGCATATTTCTCGTATATAATACCACTAGTGGTAAAATTTTACCGATAAAATTTTTGATTTTTATACGAATGTTTTTTTCTTGGAAATTTCGCAAGTGGCATTAATTTTTAAGACCACGAGCCGCTAGGCGAGTGGTTTGAAGTTAATGCCATGAGCGAAATTTCCAAGGAAAAATCTTGAGTAAATAAAAATCAAAAATTTTTTCAGGGAAAATTTTATCACGAGTGGTATTCGGCAAGACTATTTCACGAATATTTTTAACTGCTGATTCAATTTCTGTATGATTTTTTGGACCAAAACGCATATTTTTTAACATTTTAATTTTAAAATTAAAAACGTCAACAGTGACAATTATTTTTATCATAGCAACCAATTGGTTGTTATGCAACTCGTATAAACGAGTGGTTTTTTCACCTGAATAGTAGTTTTATCGCTGCAAAACTGAAAAAACCACTCGTTTTCTGAAATCTGATTGGTCCAAAAAGTAATGAGTGGAATAGTCGTAAATAAAAACAAAACAAAATACAAAAATAAGTCAAATAACTATTTTAAACTTTTTTTCTCAATATTTATAGACGTCTATTGATACTGTCCACTTCATGGTTGGTTCCTTCAGTTAATTTTTGTTTTTTGTTTTCCAGAACCTTGATTTCCGTTATTAAACAATTTTTCACAATTACGAGAAAGACTTGTAATGTTACTTTGACTTTTGTCAAAGACAAACTGAGTTACACGATTAGGTAGTTACATTAAAATTGCCCAAGCATTTCATTTATATTAAATCATAATGTATCCTTTTTCTATGGTAGATCTTTTATATTATTATTATTATTTTATGTATTAGTATTATTTACAGATAATTCCCTGACTTTTCCCTGACTTCGTTTTTTCTTTAAATTCCCTGTGTAGTAAAATTAATACACGTTCTTTACATGTATTAATAACAATCGTTATTAAATTCAAAATATTAAACATAATATATTATCCCGTGAAATATTTTTTATACATGCAACGTTAACCTTCTAGGAATAGTACAAAAACATTATTTAGATGAAATTCAATCTTTATTGATTAAACTTGCAAGTATGTAAATACATTAATGAATTATTGTCTTTAAAAAATACTATATAAAATATATAATTTTTATTACCTATCTAAAATTATCACTATCGTCAAATATTTTGTATTTCCCCTTTGCAGTGTCCACAGCAAACTGTATGAAATTGGTGGTTTTGGGAATGCATATTATGCTCACCATAAGCTGCCCCTACTAACGCATTACATATCGCATCTTTGTTTGTTATTTTAACCGGATTTTGAAGAAGCTAAAACAAACATATTCTGTAAATTAACAAACAAAATTTTACCATTTTTTAATTGGCTATATAATCTTCCTTTCTTAATGTTAGAATATATATGGGTGATTCTACAAAAGTTGGACAACTTGATGTCATCAGTCAATAGAGTAGGTATTTTAATATTTTTTGTAAATATTTTAGTATATTACAAAAGATCCAGGTTTTTTAACTTGTCCACCCAATTTTAATGTATTTTTTCAAAAGCACGTTTGTAGAAAAACATAATAAATATTCAAAACATCAGTACCTTGGCGTGTCACAACTCCTGAATCAAATATGTGAGTGGTTTTATTTTAAAATATATTCAATTTATCTTATATTTTTCAATTACACTACAAACTATAAAACATTAAATAATGTATTTTTCATATTTTATCATAGATTCGAATAACAATTTTTAAAAAATTGTTAATCTTTTTACTCACTTTTACCCGTCAGTTCTGTGTCCAATGTTAAAATTCAAAATTCCTGCGAAATATTGAAGTTTAAACGTCAAGTCCTCGTTTTAACTCAAGCGTTGGTAAAAAATTTCCCGCAGAGCCCGCCCTTTGCACGACAGTCATCTTGAAAACAATGCAAGCGGCGAAGTTGTGGTGAATGCACGTATAGTTCCAGTCAAAATTTCAGTACTGTGGTGAGTAGTTATTTTCTTTCGTATATGGGTAATTCTTTTACAAACCGAACACCTTTTGACCGACACATCTTAGATTTGGCTGAAACTTTTTTTACGGATTCTATGTCGAAAAATAAGAGATACGTGTCCGAGGAATTTTTTTCTCTCGCATATTTTCGATAATACAAGCTTTCGAAAATTTGAGATTAACGAGTTTTTTGGCCTGGAGACTGATTTTAAAAAATTTATAACTCTGGTTCTATTTGAGCTACAAACTTCAATTTATTTGAAAAGTGAGGTTATGTCGAAAAATAGTTAAAATAAAAATTGTAGATCTTTTTATTATCTACAACTTTTATATTTGACTTTTTTTGATCCGAGCTATAGTTTTCTTTTTATTAACAAAAAACCGTTTCTTTATGTGTCGCGCAATATGAATGTTTTAACAATAGTAATAATGAAGGTACCATATTTTGAAATCATGTTTTTTATGTAAAATTTGACTTAATACGAGGTGGGGGCCATTGTTAAAAATTGATTTAAACAATGAAATTGTTAATAACAATATGAATTTGTTAATAATATTTATTAAAAATATTTTTTTGTCAAAATTTAGTCCTTTAGCTTTAAAATGAAAAAAAAAGAAGTTTGTAGCTCAAATAGAACAAGAGTTATAAATTTTTTAAAATGAGTCTCCAAGCCAAAAAACTCGTTATTCTCAAATTTTCGATAGCTTGTATTATCGAAAATATGCGAGAGAAAAAAAATTTTTCGACATAGAATCCGTAAAAAAAGTTTCAGCCAAATCTGAGATGTGTCGGTCAAAAGGTGTTCGGTTTGTAAAAGAATTACCCATATATATTTTATTGTAATTTATATAAGGCTATTTATGATTTGTTGATAAGTAGCATCCACTAATAAAAAATATCAGTAAAATACTTAATTCCGAATTATAATCTTAAATTTGTATTCCATTCATCAGTACCGTGTCGTCATTTCCATATTCGATGTTTCGGTTATCTTTTTTTCGCAAACTTCAATTTAAATTCTGCTTGCGCAGAACTTGTTTATTTAATGTCATTATAAACTCATAAATTTGGAGTGTCCGTCCCATATCTAATAATTGAGATATCGGTATACCCAAAATCCACCAGCCGCCACTGATGTGTGGTATTTTTTGATTTTAAGATATTTAATGTATAATATGTTAAAAGTTGCAATAAATCTTATATTTTCCAATAAATTATGTATTTAATTATTACCCTGGTATACTCGTCACTTCCCTTAGATTCAAATTTAGAAAACACGGATATTTTAGAAACTTTTTGAAAAAGTGTCTGGCCTGGTCTGGAACAGTATATTTATTATATTATATATGTTCTCATAACAAAATACTGTTTAATTTTCTCCGAAAACTATAAACAAAATTAGGTCAAAAGTTGTCCAACTTTTGTAGAATCACCCATATGCATTTTTTAAATTATTGTGTAGCAGGATCCTTTTACTTTAACAACATAAATAATATTTCTTAGTTAATAAAGAAGGAAGTAACAAAATCATACATTTTTGAAAACATTTTCATATTTTTAATTTTAATAATAAACTCACCTTTTGAGCATTTTTCTCAGTAAAAGTACTGTTTTCAATCTTACCACAACCATTATACAACTCAGACAATTTGGCATTCTTGTTAGGCACCTTAAAATGTTTTTCCAATTTGTCCGCCAAAATTAAATTCGTATGAGCCAATTCGACGCAAGTGGCAGATTTTAATTGCATGGTATCGTTATTATCACTAACATTGTCTATGAGCATCTTTAAGTTGCAATAGGTTTGTAGGGAATGCTTTTTTGTGTAAGAATTCTCCTCCATGAGGGCTTTTATAGTGTTTTGTAATTCGTTTATTCTGCTAGTGAGGGCTGATTTCCAATGAGCTAATTCTTCAACCATTAAACTAAAAAAATATTAAAAAAAAAATAGGTATTTAAAATTAATATAAATATAATATAAAACAATAAATAATAATAATTATATAATAATAATAATATAATAATACAATATAAATAAAAAAAATAAAAAAAAATAGAAAAATTAAAAGCATTTACAAATTAAAAGTATATATTTATTATAAATTTAAAAGAAAACTATAGTAAAAACAGGCTGACCAAAAAAATTACAATGGAGTAATTTTATTTTTAAAAGAAATATGTATATAAATCAGTGGCGGCTCGTGGGTGTACAGGAGGGTGAGGCTATAACCTTATGTATACATAAGGTTAATTTTGTCTAAATACAAATAAATTAAAATGGAGGTCATCGCCGATAGCCCTACTAAACCATTATAAATAAAAAATAAAGTCTAAAAAACAAAACAAACAAAATATCACATCAAAGACTACTTTTAATCTTAAAACTTAAAAATATATTCTTAAAACAGTTAAAAATAAATAAATTAATCAAAAAATAAAACTAAAAAGTCGACCCCTACCTAAGTATTAAAAAATATAAAATACTATTAGCTACTTTTTGTAAATTAAATCTATACGTCTAAGTTTGCAAATTTATCTATTATTTGGTCGTAAAATTGTGGGTCTGCAGTCAGATTTAAAAGTAATTCTAAATTTTTAAACCGCGTCTCTAATTAAAGAATTATGCAATCTATTATTTCAAAATATAAAATTTGCTTAATAAAAACTGTTAAATCTACCTTAGTGTGTTCCCCACAATAATTAAATAAGAAATTTTACTAATCGAGACAAAAACTATAAAAGATCAGCCAAAAGTTTTAAATAATTTAATTTAAATCAAAACAAAACGAAACAAAACGTGCTCTACGAACGCTTAGAGGACACTGGCCTCCCCACCATAGACGGACACGCGATTATAATGTGATAAAACCAGAAATCAGAACAAACCAAGCTAACTTTATGTCGCCTCATCTACGACTGAATTTACGTTGTTTATTCGCGAACTTTAGTTGGTGAGTCATTTTCGCTTTCTAGAGGTAAATGGGAGCTTCCGAGGCTGTGAAAATTTCGCCTCTGTCTAGCGACTTTCAACGATGCACGTTACCTTGACGCGCTTTGCGCCTGGATTTTTATTTACGCTTAGTATTATTGATTGGTTTTTTACTTTTTATTGGGTAGAACTGTTGTAAAAATACACTTGTAATAGGCAAAAATCTAAATACAAAAAGTCGTTCGTTCCTTCATTTTAAGGGTGAGGCGCGGCCTCAGAGGCCTACCCTGACGAGCCGCCACTGATATAAATACTTAAAAATGTTAAACAAAAATATTGAAAAATCAATTAAAAAATCGAGTGAAAAATCTTTTAAAATCATTTATATTTTTATAAAATTATTCAGGAACCGTGAACTTGATTTAATTTATAATAGGTTTGGAAAAAATGCAAAAAAATAGTGTACAATTTGAAACCATACTTTAAAACCAAACACTTGTTAAAATTTGTATTAGATTAGATTAGATTTTTTGTGCTTTTTTTTAATTCCTTTTTAAGCAAGATTCAAAGAAGGCGTTTTTATGTCCAATCATTTGATAAAAGCAAAACAAGTCCATTTTTAATTCAAAAATCGTTTCTCTTTTGAAAATTTTGATCCAGTATGTCTATTAATTTTTCGAATTACGATTTGTTTTAATTAAAAAATTGTCACTTTTATATTTAATCTGTTTAAGGCAGATAACTTTATTTTAGCAAGATATTTGATAACAAATCATTTATGTAAGCAACATAAATTTATTTTTATTAGTTTGCTAGTAAGGTTTTTAAAATTTTAATTTTAAAAATTGTCGTTTTTTTAATTCTTCATCTACAAGGTGTCCCTAAACTTAGTGGCATAAATTTAGGAGCAGATTAAGCAAGTCAAAATAAGACGAATATCTAAATAAATATTTTTTCTACTCCCACCTTTAAAACGCCCTTTTCGTACATGTTTCCATGCCACTTAGTGAACTTTTAAATACACATTGACAAGTTGTGGCTTTATGGCGCTTTAGTCACGGGCTGAAGTTAGCAACAGGTTTTTAGTCACGGGCAGTTAGTTTTAAGTTAGTTGACAGTTGTCAAATTTTAAAGTGCCTTTCTTGTAAAATAATACTAAAAGTGAAAATTATTTTATTATCTCAATAAAAAAATACAAAAGTATTAAATAGTTTCTCAACGCCAATATTTGAAAAGTTTATATGAACATTGTACTGACCTTTTAATTTCGCCGGCAGTAAACTATAACTTAACTTCGGACACGGACTTCACTGTAAAGTGCTCATAAAACATTTTCTTTACTTTCACTGTGAAAAACTGTCAATTTTCAAGAAATACATTTCGTTTTATAACCTTTATAATCTGTGTTTTTAAAATAAAAAAAATTGACATTTGACGGTGACACACAGATTCTCCTATTGTTTTATAGATTGATTTAAATCATTTTAAGATAATAATAAGTATTTGAGGAGGTCCATTCCAAAACTCGGCTTATCAACTTTTTAATAAAAATGAGTTAGTGGTGTCTGTACATTTAACATGTATCCCCCTATACCCTGAAAAGTTCATAATATTCTAAAACTATCCTTATTCCATTTAAAATTCATTTACAAATTGACTATCGTTCCAGAACTTGCCTTATCTATTATATCATGCAGAACTCGGTATATACGTATGTAATTTTAAATTATTTTAAACTGGAGCTATACTTTTTTAATCAAGGTATATAAATGTTTTACTTATGCCTTTATATTTCGTTTAAAGTATTGTGTTTGCCTAATATGCGTTAGTACTCACGTGTAAGGTTTTTGACATTTTGCTCAAAAACAACTAATATGGATAAGCCGAGTTTTGGAATGCACTTCCTCATTTGTCGTAGAAAAAGTATAGTATGCACTTGGTTTATAAACTTTTCTGTATAAAATGGCGTTTATCAAACTTGATACATAATATACTATTTCCCAATTACGTATGTTTACAAGATACAGGATGATAAAGTGTTACTTATATCAGTTTTTTTTTAAATAACTTCTACTATGGTAGACTTGGAAAAGTGAAATTTTGCGAACAGTCACTTACTACCAAAACACATATTCCCACAAAATTACAATTGTTCGAGTTAACACAGTGTCGTAGAAATAGGGGTTGCTTAAGCTTATTGTCCCATACAAACTTTGAGGTTAGGTTCTTATACCATTTGATGCAATTTTTCGATTACTCAGTTCGGCTACTATTAAAAAGGTGTACCTCTCAAACTTCGATAAAATAAACCGTTTCCCAGATATTCGAGATTACAATACTGTTATATCTCATTAAAGGATTAAAAGGTAAGTATATGATAACAAATTTTTTTAATGTGACGGTCAGGGCAAAAAGTCCCGAGGCTCATGGAATGCCGTTTTTAGTTTTTTCAATTAAAATATAAAATTTGTTATCATTTACCTTTTAATCCTTTTAAATAATGCGATATAACAATTATTGTAATCTCGAATATCTCGGAAACGGTTTATTTTATCAAAGTTGGAGAGGTACACCTTATTAATGGTAGCCTAACTGTGTAATCTAAAAATTGCATCAAATGTTATAAAAACCCAACCTCAAAGTTTGTATGGGACAAACAAGCTTAAACCAACCCCCGTTTCTACGACACTGTGATCACTCAAACAATTATAATTATGTATGAATAAGTGTGTTAGTAAGTGACTGCAAAATATCACCATTCCAAAACTACCACAGTAGAGGTTATATTAAAAAAACTGATATGATCAGTAACACTTTATCACCCTGTATCTTGGAAATATAAGTATTAGGAATAGTATATTCTGTAACAAGTTTGGAATACAGCATATTCCGCTCGAGTGAAGAGTTTGTCACACGAGCCGAAGGCGAGTTTGACGGTTTCACGAGAGCGGAATATGCAATTTCAAACGTGTTACAGACTATACTTTTTTTACGTTTCCAAAAAATACCATAGAAAAATAATTTAATTGGAAGGAAGTGAGGTTGGATCGGTCTAAAATTTGTTAGATATTAAAAACAGAGATGTCGCCACGAGTGTTCATTCTGTCATCCGATGATAGAATATTTGATTCTGTAACACTTTACGGTCAAATTCCGTAATAGGAGTAGAAAAAAATATTTATTTAGGTTTTCGTCTTATTTTGACTTGTTTAATATTTTCCTAAATTTATACCAATAAGTTTAGGGACACCTCGTATATATAGCTGCGTTAAGCATTTATAAGCGTTTAAAAATAATTTATAGAAAAGAAAAACCTATAAATTAAAAAAAAAATATATACAAAAAATAGGAATCAAATAATGTATTGAAAAATTTAATATTAAAAACAAATATCAAACTTTTTTTATTATTTTAAATAAATGAAAAACTTATTGATATTTCAATATTCAGTGTGACCCATATGTTTGCGATTTTTACCGGATTTGTTTTAAAGTGTTTTTTTTTCATGGATAACTTGACAGAATACATGTTTGTAAATAGTAATTATTGTGCATTTTCAATTTAGCTACAAAATGTATACAAAAAAGAAAATTTTTACATTAAAAAATAAATCACCTCATTATATAAAAAAATTGTGTAAAATCAGAAAAAACCTGCAAAGCAAAATTTATTTAATTATAATTTTGAATAATTAAAAACTTATTGTTATTTAAATAAATTAAAAACCAAAGTTTTCAAAAACAGCTGTTACTAGTAAACAGTATACAGTGCTTGCAAATCCAAGTCCGACCGGTTTGGGAAGGACGCGTGAAAATAACAAGGATAGAACGCCATACAGAAGGCGCTTACAATACGCACGCCTGACGCTCTGACCAATCAAATTCTGTTTGGCATTCTATCCTTATTCTTTTCACGCGGGTATTGAACAACCATCCTTCCCAACGCGGTCGGACTTGGATTTGCAAGCACTGTATAATTGAATTTATTAATAATATACGCCAAAGTATCAGGTTTTCGCAACGCGCGCGCCATCTGTTGAAGTTCGATAGCATTGTGTGAATGTAAGAATTGTCAAGACACATACACCTTAAGATAGGATGGTGCGCATGTTGGGCGGGGCTTAAATACGTCACTTGATGAGTGTTTTTAAATCTTTAACGTGCTTTTTAATTATCTGTTGCTAAAATTCTTGTTTTTGCGATGCTGTTGGATGTTAACTTGCTCTATTTTTGTTTAACTAAGGTTCGAATTACTTTTCAGTGTTCAAATTATTGTTATTGCGTTGTGTTAACCTGTTCTGTTTGTTTATTATTGTTTTTGTGTTGCGTTAACTTGTTTTGTTTGTGTTTTAGTTTGTGTCGTGCCATTTGCATTTATTAAAATGCGGTGAGGCATTTTGGATGCAATTCGGACAACCAGTCCAAGAAAAACCCTTTAAATACAAACATTAAATTTAATCCATTCCCGAAAAACTTTGATTTGTGCAAACAATGGTTAAATGCCACAAAAAGAATGGACAATATTAACGTTAAGACCGCTTCTGTTTCCTATAAACATTTTCTACAGTGAATTTAAGTTTAATTTAAAACCCCAACGCTTAAACTACAGCCCTTAATGTTATGAAGGACTAAAAAAGCATCTATTACACAGCCACACAAAAAAAAAGTGTCGTGATCTGGGGATGCGACATATGCTTTCCTATGGATTTTGATTCGCTGAATCCGAATCCGATGTCAAAATTTGTCCTCCAGGTCCGCGTTTCATCCTAACCTCAAAAAACGTGAAAAAATTAGTATTTTCTGTTCTGGGGATTAGGCATGTCGATTCTTATGTTTTTCGATGCATTGAATGTAAATAATCTCTCAGAATCGATCGCACACGTTGTTATTTTGACTCTAACCTCGAAAAAACGCAATGAAATGAAATATACTGAAATTGTGATATACTGCCTTGAAGGCTAGTTTTTTTTTGAAAGCCTATATCAGCGGAGTCTCATTCTTACAGTTGACGTAACCTAACCTAACCTTAAATCACCTAATTTAACCTAAACTGGCCTTATATAACCCTTATCTTCTATCGCAGATTTTACTATTCTGTAAAAAGGTAAATTTTAACACGATAAGCAATGTCTTTACAACGAAATGAATATGAAATTTACTGTTTTATTCTCTCTATTTTTGGATTTCTAGAAGAATGGGTGAACATAATGATATCGCTGACCATTTTAGCATTTTTCGCTTGTGCCTGTAACCAGGGCACCTCCACGTGGTGACGGTGGGCAACGGATCCATACCGGCTGAGTCCCTGGGTAAACGGCGTTCATGCCGTCATTTCAGGCACAGGCGAAAAATGCTAAAATGGTCAGCGATATCATTATGTTCACCCATTCTTCTAGAAATCCAAAAATAGAGAGAATAAAACAGTAAATTTCATATTCATTTCGTTGTAAAGACATTGCTTATCGTGTTAAAATTTACCTTTTTACAGAATAGTAAAATCTGCGATAGAAGATAAGGGTTATATAAGGCCAGTTTAGGTTAAATTAGGTGATTTAAGGTTAGGTTAGGTTACGTCAACTGTAAGAATGAGACTCCGCTGATATAGGCTTTCAAAAAAAACTAGCCTTCAAGGCAGTATATCACAATTTCAGTATATTTCATTTCATTGCGTTTTTTCGAGGTTAGAGTCAAAATAACAACGTGTGCGATCGATTCTGAGAGATTATTACATTCAATGCATCGAAAAACATAAGAATCGACATGCCTCATCCCCAGAACAGAAAATACTAATTTTTTCACGTTTTTTGAGGTTAGGTTGAAACGCGGACCTGGAGGACAAATTTTGACATCGGATTCGGATTCAGCGCGTCAAAATCCATAGGAAAGCATATGTCGCATCCCCAGATCACGACACTTTTTTTTTGTGTGGCTGTGTTATCCATATTATAACACTTTCTTCAATATTAACTTTAATAAAAACGCACTATGTCCAGATATTTCTCTATTTTCTTTGATAATATTACTATTATTCGTGTATTCGCACGGCAACTATTCATCAAGTGACGTCATGCGCGGCACGAACCAAAACTCGTACACGGGAGCATCCAGCCCTGAGAATTGTCAACAATACATTTAAAGCATATGAACTGCACATCATTTTTAAATAAATAGGTAGTTTTACTCAAAGCTTATATGCTTATATAGTTAGGTTAGTGTGTATTTTGTGAATGGGATCATGGTGAATTATAGTGTTTTTAATTGTAAATAAAATTCAAGAACTAAATCGTTGCATTTTCATGTTTTTCCAAAGGATTTAATTTGTTGGTGCAGAATATACTAATTATAACTAAACCTAATATAATTTATATTTAAGTTTGGACATTTTTAAGAAATTAGTAAAAAATAATTGTTGCACAAACATACATAACCTTAAAATTAAACATTTTTATATTTTAGTCCTCTAAAAACGCCGACAACTGCATGTTAAACAACAAAATATACCTAAGAATTCATGGCAGTTGTAGTTTTGTTACAATGATAACGGCCGAGTGGTGGTGCTACTAGCGATGCTTCTTTAGCGTATAGAAATTTACAAAATATTAATAAATTTAAAAATAAATAAATTCAATAAAAAAACAAACGTTAAAACGTCAAAATTGACCAAACCAAATGTCAAACTAATTTAAAATGTCATCAGTTTACCTTGAAGCCAAAAATTTGCTCCTCCATACTTCGCATTGTCCTGAAAGCCACTCAGTTTGTTCCTGGTGCGACGTCAAATGATTTGCCGAATTTAACAGTGCCCTTGCTAATTGAAGTTTATCTTCTGTCAAATGTTGAACGCGACTTTCCAAATCTTCGCCTACAGCGGCCACCAAAAGTGTTTTTAGTTCACTGTTTACCTAAAATATGATGTTAAGCAAAAAAAATACTTAACAAATAATGTATTAGTCTAATTTAAAGATATTTGGTTTTTAAGAAAATATAGTTTTTTTCACAATTGAGGATTTTTTTACACAAAAATATTTTTGTGCGAAAAACTTATATTTTTTCAAAAAACAAATAATAATAATAGTAAATTAGATGCAAAACTCGGTTTTTGCAAATTTTTAAAAAAATATATTTTATCCTATTTATGTACAGGGTGTCCCAAATTGGTTGTCCGTATAGGGTCATATTTCTTAACCTAAAAGAGCTAAAAAAAAATCTGTCGACACTAATGAATTCTGTGATAAAAAGTGTCTACATAATATTTTAAACCTGTATTCGTAACTCAAATATTAACGAAGCTACAAGCATTTGTCAAAATTGGCAAAAATTGAAAAAATAGGTATATCTCCTAAACAAATGCGAATCGAGAAAATTCAAAGACATCATCCGATGTATCTTTAAAAAAGACGACGGGGATGCGTGGTCGAATTTTTTCTAGCATTTATATTTACTGAGATAGCCTACAACCAATTTGGGACACCCTGTACATTACTGCACTGCCTACAGCATACCTAAGTAAACCAGATGTATAAATTAGTATTTGTAGACTAAAATACATTTAAAAACTTAACGCAGATGCAAAACTGGGTATTTGTTTCTTCCTGTCGGATGCAAAACACGGTATAGGCATTAAGTGACGACATAACAATCACCTGATTAATTGTTATTTTTTGGTATTTGCACTTTTCATTTGCAAAACTTGGTCTTTAAACGAGGAAGATGCAAAACTATGTTTTTAAATCTTTTGATTACAATTATTTACTAAAATACTAGATCAGTGCAAAAGCCTTTAAAAATGGTAAAAAGAGAAAAAAAATAACAGTAGGATGAAACCCATTGGAAAAGGAGGGGAATATAATAAAAATTAAAGGAAAAATAAATTACGGGCGATCTGAGTTCGGGAAGTGGAAGGGGGGGTCTTTAAGGGTAAAAAATGGTTTATCTCGATTTCCGGAAAAACTACAAGTCCTATGGAAAAAAGTTAAATGTCAAAGTTGTAGGTAATAAAAAGATCTACAACTTTTGTATTTACAATTTTTTCACATAACCTCAAAATTTATGTGAAAAATTCAAAAAACCAAGTTTTTGGTTTTTTATTTTTATCTTTTTCAAAAAAAAATTTTTTTCCACGAAATTTGGTGAAAACTTACCTTTTTATGTCCCAAATACACTGTAATTTATTTGATTTGAAATATTTATTATTTCGCCTTATTTTGACTTAATATCAAAAAAGCACCCTAATTTTCAATCGAAAATTCTCGCGTCAAAATATCAGCTTTTTTCAAAAAGTCGGTGTGCTTTTTGTTCGGTGAACTCTCTACTTTCTGATGGTGTAAAAAAATATACATTACTATGGTAAATGTTCTCATAAAATACAAAAAATATTATAATGAATAACGTAATCAGAAAGAAGTATCTAAATGATTTACATGTATTTTTATATTTTATGAGATTTTCTGACATAAATGTTATTAGAATTTAATAAATAAACTTTTTAACTAAAAAAATTGCAACAATTAACAATTAATGAAAAGAAATGCTACCTCATACATATAGAAAATAGAGTGAAAGAACACAACATCAACCTTGAAATAAATGGAACTATATTAGATAAAGTGGAGGAAATCAAATACCTAGGACTAATACTGGACAAAAAACTCACATGGACAGCCCACATTAATAAATTAAAAAGGGAAATTTCGTCAAAAATAAACATGGCATATAGAGTCAAAGATTACATAACAGTAAAACATAAAAAAATGCTATACGACGCATATGTGCAAAGCAATTTAACATATATGATACCTTTTTGGGGAACAGCTAATAAAAAAGAAATAAATAAATTAAAAAGAGCACAAAACAAAATCATTAAGGTCCTATATAATATTAAAAAAGATACAGCAACTAAAGAAGTATATAAAAGAACAAAGCATTTAAATATTAATGAATTACAACAACTGGAAACATTAAAAATAATACATAAGATCAACAAAAAAGAAATTGTGGACAGTGACATAAAATTAACCAAACAAAAAGAAATACATAAATACAATACTAGAAGCAGAGATAAAATAAGAATAGATAGAGCCAAAACAAAAAGTAGTCAAAAGCAACTGTTGAATGAGGGAATAAAAAAATACAATGAGCTGCCGGCGAAATTAAAGGAACAAAACACCAAAGATTTCAAAAAAGCGATTAAAGAATATATAATTAATTTAAGAGACTGAATAGGTTAAGTGTTATTTATTTATAGATTATTTATTTATATATACAAATACTTATATGTACATTTTTATATTTATTATCTGTTGTGGCCCATGAGGGCACATTGAGATGTATTTTTTCTAAATAAAAAAAAAAACAATCACATTTTTTGGATGAAATTGTACATAATGATTAAAATAAATTTTCGAATTCGAGTTTTTTTCGTTATTCATTATAATATTTTTTGCATTTTCTGAGAACATTTACCATAGTAATGTATATTTTTTTTACACCATCAGAAAGTAGAGATTTCAACAAACAAAAAGCACACCTACTTTTTGAAAAAAGCTGATATTTTGACGCGAGAATTTTCGATTGAAAATTAGGGTGCTTTTTTGATATTAAGTCAAAATAAGGCGAAATAATAAATATTTCAAATCAAATAAATTACAGTGTATTTGGGACATAAAAAGGTAAGTTTTCACCAAATTTCGTGGAAAAATTTTTTTTTTTTAAAAAGATAAAAATAAAAAACCAAAAACTTGGTTTTTTGAATTTTTCACATAAATTTTGAGGTTATGTAAAAAAATTGTAATTACAAAAGTTGTAGATCCTTTTATTACCTACAACTTTGCCTTTTAACTTTTTTCCATAGGACTTGTAGTTTTGCCGGAAATCGAGATAAACCATTTTTTACCCTTAAAACCCCCCCCTCCCACTTCCCGAAGTCAGATCGCCCGTAATTTGTTTTTCCTTTCATTTTTATTATATTCTTCTCCTTTTCCAATGGGTTTCATCCTACTGTTATTTTTTTTTGTTTCAAAAATTATCGACCCTGGTCTATACCTAATTTTAGAGAATTATTTTTACTTTTTTGAATAAAAATGATTCCAAAGCACGTCTATACAATGTTTGCATTTTTTTTTCAAAAATGATCTTATGAGCGGTTTTTCATGTTTTTCTTATTTTCTTAAAATCACTTATCCTGCAAATACAGAGTTGTGCGTCTATAGATTATAATGTACTTTGAATTAAAATTTCCTCCTTGGGTACCATACTCCACACCCCACTTTAGGTTATTTATCTATCTATCAATATAACGCTAATTTTGTTTTATTTTTTGAATATAATACAATAATTCGTTATTATTGTATTAATTACTTTTTATGTATAAAACATATACAGGGTGCACCAAATATTCTTCCATGTGTATACTTTAAAGGGTATTTTTTATTTGAAGAGCTAACATGTCAATTTAATTATAAAGAGTTGCGTAATTACAAGTCCATTAAATTAAGCCCCATTAAAAAAGCCGGCGATTCTCAAAATATTAAAAAAAACGAATACCCTTTCACAACTAAAAATTGTTATTTCTACATTTTTGTTCAATTTCTTTGCTTGAGTTACCATTACCATCTTTTGTTTTTATAATGGCCGCCATAATTTGGATTGTTGGATTTCTTGATTTTTTTATACCTAATCATGTAAAATTACAATATGGTGGTGGTGGCTCAAATCTAGTAGGCAAAAAAAAATCACAAATTGTATAAAATTGTGGATAAATGTGAATTTTTTTTTTCAATTTTTAAATGTCATTTTAATAGACTTGTAACGCATTTTTCGTCTAATTTAACGGACCTTCTAGCTCTTTAAATAAACAATATACCCATGCATAGAGAAATAAATATATTCAGGGTGTCCAAAGTTATCTGCTCACCATTGCTAACTTTGTTATTATTGGAGCTAGAAAGTCGGTAAATTAGCGAGTTGGTGGCATTTTTTCTTCTGATTAAAATGTTAAAAACAGAAAAACAAGTCGGTTTTCACAAAAATAATTTTTTTTTAATAAAACACCCCGAAGATATATTTTATATATTTTAAAAGTTTTAGACAATAACTAAGCACTTTCGGATACTTGACGTTCAATTGCTTTTCTATTTTACCGTTTAAAAAAATGTCACCAATTAGAAAATTTTACCAGCTTTGTAGCTCCAATATTAAAGGGGAATGGTAGCAATGGTAAGTAGAAACTTGTGGATCATATACAGTACTGTATGTGTCCATGGATGGACTTAACTATACTATGTATTTGTAAAAATATTTATTTTCGATTATTCAAAGAAAAGTCAATCCTCATAATTTCTTCTGCTTGTTATATAAATACCATTCACGATGAGAAAGTTCTATTTTGTTATACAGGGTGCGCAAAAAAATACAATTGTAGATTTTCCAAAATTAAAAATTGTTAAATATATTTTTTTAAGGTCTAATATGAAGAGCTTGTAAGGAGAAACCAAAAAGCCAAATAAAGTTTTTTCATGTGAGTTATTGTTTCTAAGATATTTGTTGTTAAAAATAAAATCAATTCAGGTCCTATCTTGAGTGGTCCTATTATTTTGTAGAAATTTTGTGATTATGAATCAAGGTTGTTGCTTTCAACTGACATGACTACAAATATTTATTATAAAAAACTTCATATGAGTTTTTGATTTCTCCTTACCAGCTCTGTATATTAGCGCTTCAAAAAAAAAATATTCAAAAATTTTTAATTTTGAAAATCTGTATTTTTGCTCACCCTGTACAACAAAATGTATGTTTTTCAACGCAAATCGTATTTATATAACAAGCAAAACAAAATGATGAAAAATGACTTTTCCTCGAAAAATTGAGAATAAATATTATAATAAGTATAGTTAAGTCCATCCGTGGACACACTGTATATTGTATTATTTTTAGAAAATAAGATGAAAGTAGTGTTAAACTAACAGATACCTAGATAATCTTAATTAAATAGTTAAGATTATTGTATTCAAAGGTTAGGTACCTTAAAAACTATACCTACCTAGAATAATACATTATTTTTTTATTAATTTATTAAGTAGGTATGTTAAGACATACTTGTATTTTGTCCATAATTTTTTATTATTACTTTTTTTTTTAAATTTACATAAAAATAATTTTTTTTTCTTACTTGAGCTTGGAATTTTAGCTGATTTTCCAGATGTGAATTAGTCTCCCTGAGATTTTTAATATCATTATTGTAGCACTCCTTCTCTTTTTCCCACAAATCCCTTGCTATAAAATTGTCACCTTTTTCTAAAGCTGTCATTTTCATTTTATCCATTTCCTCTTGCCGTATATCAGCCATTTGATTCACCAATTGATGAATTTCAACATTGTTCTTTGTGGGTTTGCTCTCGAAAACAACTTTATTGCTTATGGGGGCAACCATGGGCTCTACAGCAGCCTTATAGGGCTCGTATGGTACAAATTTGGGCTCTCTGCCCTTTTTAAACAAGTCCTTTGGTGCTTTTTGCTCCTTTGGGAAATATTTTGGAACTAGCTGTACAATATTAGAGGTAGGTATTACAGGTTGTAGAGATTTAAGTATTTGTTTTGATGATTTTAAATTTGCATTAAAAGTTATAGCATTATTGAGGGTTTCAGGAAATGACAATAAAGCATTGTCCATACCATCACCCATAGTTCTTATTCCTATAAAAAAATAATTTAACTATACACACTTGTAATACATTTAAACAAACCTTTTTGTTCCATTTTGTTTTTATTGCTGTAAATAGCTGATAGTAATTAATTAACATATGTTTTGTTTTTATTTCTATGCATTCATTTTAATCTAATTTATATGTTGTAATATAATCTCTTAGTTGTACTATTACATTCTTGCACTATTAGAAACCCTGAATAGAGATTTTCCCTGTTTAAATGACTATTTTCACATCATAAAAGAAAATTGTAAATAATACTAACATTGTTGTCACATTTTTTTCAGACATTAAATAAGATATTAGATATATATATATATATATAAGATATATTTAAATTTTAATTTTCGTAATTTTGTAGTAATTTTTGAAATAAACGCGGACCCTAAAATAATTAGAATGTTTCAGTTAAATAATTAATATTTAGTTCCTTTTTTTATTACTGATTTATACAACTGACAACATCGCAAGAGAATCAAATTATTTTGTGGTTATGACTACATAACCAAAGATTTTTATGCTGTCAAAAAATTATTTTTTCCAATAAAAACACATTTTCACCATGACGTCTTTATTAAAAAACGTACGTATATAATAAAAATAAATTAACAATAACCTAATATTTCTCTTAGGTCATTTCAAACACCCAAATAAACACCCAACTTGTCCGATTACTTCACACAACTTCAGTATGTTGCAAAGTACAGGCTGGACGTTACAGGATAACACCGAAAAAAGATTTTCCCTTAACATATGAAATGGCAAACCCACCCCACGAAATAGCGCATAGAAAAACCTGGAATTCTTGGAATACTTGTGAGTTAACAAATTCTATCCGGCAATAAATATGGATTTCACTGTGTTGCATCTTATGTTTCAGCTAATTTGCAGGGTGGTCTACGATCATCAGAAACCGCAGTAGAGGACGTTTTTATTAGAAAATTCGTATCAGGCACTTGGCATAACCTATTTGTGAGTGAGATAATAATAAAACGACAACACAACATTATTAGAGTTGCTGGAATTGTGCATAGAGCTATTAATGCACGTAAAGTTTACTTTTTGATTGGCTATACTGAGGAGCTGTTAAGTTTTTGGTTGCAGTGTCCTGTTAAGTTAGAATTACAGACAGTGGCTGATAAAAAAGATGTTATTTTTAAGTATATTTAAGTTGTTTGTGTGTTGTAAAATAAATGGTTAGATTTAAATGTTTGTTTTTATTTGCATGTTTAACAACCTGTATTTAAAAAAAAAAGATACTTAGCCCTAACATCCATATATGAACTCTTCGTCATCAAATCTGGTGGAGAATCAACCATTTCATTTTTTACCCTGTACATTTAAAGAGGTATATTTTGCAATTTTTAAAAGCTGCACATTGTTTTTATTGAATTGCTTAAAATAATGAATTAATAATAATTATTATTATATAACAAGAAATTTCTTGACAACAAATACTTTTTCTCAAAAACTGCAGCTACATGTAGAGAGTCAATAATTTTTTTTATTTCATTAGTTAAGGAAATATTTAAATTTTGTTAAAAAAATTGATTTTTGATAACTTTCATGGTTTTATTGAACTACTCAAAAAAAATGTTGCAGGTTTTAAAAATTGCAGAGAATTCTTAAATACACTCACAGGCAAAATAATCGATCCACACAAATTTTCGATGCATTTCAATGGCAAATAACTTTTTTATTTGATTTCGGATTTAAACAAATATTAAAGAATATTGTAGATACATTAATGGAGAATCGCTTACATTTTAAAAATTACTAAAAAATACACGTACGTTTATAATATACAGGTTTAAACAAAAATATGTTTTTTACCATAAGTTTAAGACATTCTGTAGAGTGGCAAAACCGCGGTTGTTCTAAATTAAGTTTTAATTATCAAGTCAGATCTATTTTTAAGAGTTTTGTTTTTGGTTCACCTTGATATATTTATTTTTGTGGAAAATATGGATTTAAAAAAAAACATTTCCAATATTTTTCCTGGTAAAAAACATCTTTTTGTTTAAACCTTTATATTATAAACGTAAGTACACCTACCTCAATTTTTTAGCAATTTTTTAAAATGTGAGCGATTTTCCATTAATTCATCTACAATATTCTTTAATATTCGTTTAAATCCGACATCAAATAAAAAAGTTATTTGCGATTGAAATTCATCGAAAATTTGTGTGGATCAATTATTTTGCCCATAGAAAAAGGATATTGCCTGTTGTTTTTTAAAAATCTGAAACTATTCTAGAATAAATATGAAATAGTTTTATAAAAAATAGATTAAAAAAACACCTAAATTATGCATAAAATTTATTAAACAATAATTAATCTGTTTACATATTTGGTATTAAAGGATCAAATAAGAAAAAAATTAAATTTAACATTTTACTAATAATTTTAATAGGGTGTCCTAAATAACCTCTACAGTTTATTCCATAATGTAAATTTCGAAGTTTTACTCAAGACAAATTAATTATTTGGGTGGATCTTTTGGGACATCTTATATATTTGGTACAACAATATTAAAATGTTTATTTGATATACAGAAAAATTATAATGTGGGTCCTAATTTCCCAAGTTGACAACTTAAAAAATCTATGAATCATTTCATAAAGATTTTGATTTGTTTTGTTGGTGGTTTCACACCCAGTGTGCTGTGGAAAATGCTGTGCTCTGATTGGTTTATTGCTTTCTACACAGAATATTTTTAATATACTCGAAAATATTATTTTTTCAAAAAATTAAATATTATCTCTTTAATTCATAATTCTTTAAGGTTTCGTTTAAAATAAACATTATATACATTAGGGTGGCCCAAAAAAAAAATATTTTTTGTCTTCTCGTCTCTTGTGAAAATATGTTGGTTTGTCATGTTTTAAGAGCCCTGTCAAAAGATCAGCACCATTAAAAAATTTTTAGGGGTCGCTCAAGATTTTTAAAAATTACCAAAATCGTCAAAAATTGGATTTTTTTTTATTTTAATTTTTTTCTTGGTTCCGATATTATTTTTTAATTTAAAAATAATTATGATTCTGAAAATTTCAGATCGATATTTTAATTTCTAAAGGTCGCTCAAGATTTTTTTAACTTTGAAAGTAGAGTATTTTGAATGTTTTCGAGCGACCTCTGAATATAAATATCAACGAACTTTTAGCGACCTTTAGAAATCAAAATATTGATTTGAAATTTACAGAATTTTTATTATTTTCAACCTAAAAATTAATATCGAGACGAGAAAAAGAATTAAAATAAAACAAAAATTCAATTTTTGACGATTTTGAAAATTTTTAAAAATCTTGAGCGACCCCTACAAAATTTTTAATCGAGCTGATATTTTAACAGGGCTCTTAAAACATGACAAACCAACATATTTTCACAAGAGACGAGAAGAAAAAAAATATTCTTTTTTTTGGGCCACCCTAATATACATAAAAGAATGAGTTTTTGTTAAGAATTTTTGTACGATTTTTTTAAAACATTTTTTGCATAGAAAAAAACTTGTAAACATTTAATCTTTGGAAAAAAAATCAGATTATTTGAGACGAAAAAACAAATCAAAATCTATATTAAATGATACAAAATAAAAAGTGGTGGCCAAAATTTTGACCCATCTAATAACCAATAAAATGTTGGTGAACCAAAACCAAATAAATTTTATAAATAAGTACATTGTGCTTTAGAAGCATTCTACTTATGGTTTATGTTATTATTGTATAAATCGCTACAAAGCAGTTGATATTAAAAAAAACGAATGATAAAAAAAATCTCATTGCTCCAAACCTAATCAACAGTCATGTATGTAATTCTCTCTATTACAAACGTATTTACAAAAAAATACTAAAAATTAATCAACAAAATATCATTATAAATCGTTTCTGGGAATCTGATTTTGTTGCTCCAAAAGCTGGGCCAGCGATTGGGGCCCGTGGCCGGTGAACAAGGACTGCTGCGATATCTGATTGTTAGCGTTATCCGCACTTAGTTTGGAATTTTTCAGTTGGCCCGGCAAAGTCGGGTTCCAGCTCGTGGTGTTGAATAACGAGTATCCAGGGGTAGGCGGAGGAGCATGCTTTAACCTGAATTGTTCTATAGGTGGTGAGGGCTAAAAATACAAAGATGTATTTTTTAATACTTGAAAAAATAAACAGTAAATTTTCGACAAAAATTGACCATAGAGATTGTTTTTAATGAACCGTTTGGGGCTAATTAAAGAAGCTCATTTTTTCAAGTTTTTAAAAAAAATTGTTAACAATAAATGTAAGCACGGTGGTCAAAACTAAAGTATAGGACGAACAAAAATGCCAACCAAAACTGATAGCATAATCTGATTATAGACTCTTTTGGTAACACAAAAATGTATTTATCAAAATCCCAGCTGATCCTTTATTAAAGTTTTACATATTTCTTAGTATTTTAAAATTGTTTATGCCATTTCGATAAAATACTCTAGTACCATTATCAAATGTTTTTAAAAATTTGTCAGATACATGACTTAAATATGGATAAATTACATTATAAATACAAAATAATGTAAAATACAGTTTGCAATATCTTATTTATTGTTTTAAGGTACCTAATACAAAACTAATAAATAACTAAAGATTCTTTGAAGCAAAATCGATTACTGCTTGCCTTAAATTTTTAGTAAAACTTTTTCTTGGGTTCTACATGGAATTGTTTTTAACATGGAAACAATATTTTTAAATCCTTCAGTCTCTGTACAAACATGCTTCTTACATCTAGCGATATCCCCTAGAAAGAAAGAGCAAAACTTTACTTCGTTCGTCCGTTCTCTTCCCTTAATAATTTTTTATGCCCTTTATATCTTGCCATTTTGCAGATAAAGCACATACATTCTTGGCTGCCGCGAAATTCTCTAGCAATTTCTAAATTTTGAAAATTTGGCAATTGCGGCTATGCAAAAATACCGTTTTTACCATATTGAAGTAGGTAATTTTGAATCACTTAAGTTAAAGTGTTCGTTTGAAAAAGTCTGCAGTAATTTTTATATTTTCTCAGAAACCCTAAACAATTTTGTCTCCACAGCCAGCACATACCTTCTTTCGATTTTCTTCATGGCTTAACTTGAATTTCGGTTTAATTTTCATTTTAAAATCCTATTTTTAACTTTATAAAGTATACATTAAATAAACAATTAAAGCAAAATGTCACTTGCGTTATAACGTCTGGCAATTTTTTTCATAACCACCTTAATTATTGTTTTACAAAATTTGCAAGTTGTACCTAATTATTTCATAGACAAACTTAGTATTT